TTTCGGATGATTCAGGATGGATTTTTGTGTAGAAAATGATTTTTCTGTCGACCGGTATGCCGGCAATTTCCCGAGCATGGATGCTACTTCCCAGGAGATGATTTCCCGAATGAAAGACCAAGTTAGACAGACGGCCTGCGAAGAAATCCGAAGAAGTTTAGCGGCGTGTTCTGAGAGATGTTTGTTTCATGCGTCCAAGTGGCTCATTGAGCTGTACGATGCCATGATAAATGCAGAAGACGACGAGCTGGAGGACTTCGGCGAAGAAACCACGTTTTTCGACTACGAATACGAGCAGTATTGCAACTTGTTGCTGGCCAGAGCGTGTTTCAACGAAGGAGAGTACGCGAGAGCCGCCTTTTTCACGCAGGATTGCCAGGAACCCGTCGGATTGTTTATCCACTTCTACGCATCGTAAGTGGACTACTCTCCAAATGTGACACAACTCGACCAATTTCCGGTTTGTTTTTACATTCAATTCCTCCGCTTGAGGAAGTGATGACCTCGTTGAAATTTTTGAAAGTGTGGTACTTTGAATCATAATTTACCGTGTTCTGATGTTCCTGGTAGCTGAAATCTAGTTCAAACTTCGGTACCTTGATCGCGAAAGTGGAAATTCAAGTGTGCGTATTCAGAAGGTTTTGTAAAAACAACTTGAAGGCACTGTAGGAGGGTTGTCCCATTTGGACTCGGCCTCTGGGATTTTTTTTTTCGGTTTTTTTAAGTAAAATTTCAATTTACTGAATGATAATATGTAGAAACTTTCCCGTTACTGCCAGAGTTTTCCACCCATGTCACAGGATCCTAAGGAAGTTAGGCCAGCTAAAGAAGATTGAAATTTTTTTATCATTTTACCCATGATCTGTTCCAAATCTTTGATCATGGTTAAAGCAGCAACAATAATTTTTTCTTGGCTAGACTGAAAACATTTTAGCACCCCATGACGTGGGTGGACGATTTCGACTGTAACTGGAAAGTTTTCCCTCAACATTATGCACGAATTTCGAAAATTTTTTCAAAAATCCGAAAAACATTCCGGAACCTTGGAACATCATGGGCTATTGTGAATCCCCCTCGACTTTTCAGAATTGGTTCATTTTTTTTACTTGTATGATGTTTTCGTGATTTTTTTCAGGTATCTCCAGCTCGAGCAAACACGGTTGGACAATACGGTGGACGTATTGGATCCCAAAGAACCGAAACCGAAAGAACCCTGTCCCGAG